GCTCCAGCCTCCATTCCTGCCCTGAGTTCCTACCTTGAGCTCCCTCAGTGATGAACTGTGACCTGAGAGATGTGAGCCAAATAAACCCTTTCCTCCCCAAGTCAGTATTGGTCAGTGTTTTGTCACAGCAACTGACAGCAAATTAGAACAGAAATTGGCGCCAGAGAGTGAACTATTGCTATGACGGAGCTAACCCAGTTGTCTTGGGGAGGATTGTGGAAGCGTTTGGAACTTTGGACTGGAAAGGCCATTTTGTGCTTAGAGTATAGTAAGCTGTTGCTGTGGAGCTTGGAACAGTTCTGCTGAAAGAGGTGTAGACGATGGAGGCTTGGCTTGTGAAACTTCGAAGGGAAGCAAAGAATTCTCATCAGGGCTGTTTATGTTAAATTAAGAATTTTTGAAAATGGAAGCCAGGCACGGTGGCACAGGCTGTTAATCCCAGCACTTGGGAGGCAGAGGCAGGGGAGCTCTGTGAGTTCAAGGCCAGCCTGGTCTACATAGTGAGTTTCAGGCCAGCTTGGGCTACAGGGAGACCTTGTTTCAAAAAGACTTTAAAAAAAAATTGAGGGGCTGCAGAGATGGCTCTGTGGTTAAGAGCACTGACTGCTCTTGCATAAGACCCAGGTTTGAGTCCCAGACCCACATGGTAGCTACAAACTGTCCTTAACTCCAGGGGAATCCAAAGCCCTCTTCTGACCTCCGTAGCATTGCACAACGCGGGTGTACTCACATACATGCAGACAATACACATACACAAAAAATAAAAATAATAAATAAAATATTTTTTAAAAACCCTCAACTCAATTAGGTTTGATTTTTTAAAAAAATTGAAAGTGAAACCTTTTGTGCTTTACTGGGATATTGATGCAGGTTAGGTGGGGCTGAAAATCAGCTGTGAGTAACAGACCAGCATCATTGAGGCAAAATCTTTTGGAATGTATTTCCTCAGGGTTAGCATACAGAAAATGTAGTCTAGAGAGGGACTTGATCTTCCATCTCAAGCTGGACTTGGTAATATGTAAGAGTCTCCTACATGGTTCTAGTGTTGAAATTGTGAAGGGATCACAGAGAGCACCTGAGGATTTACACCCTGAGAAGTCAAAAAAAGCCTTTGGTGAAATGCAGTCTCAGTTGCAGTGAAGGCCCCCAGGATTGAAGGGATGGATCATAGAGAGAATCTGAAGCTTTGCACCCTGAGTCCAGAAGGGGCCATTGGTAAATGTGCAGCCTCAGTTTTAGTGGAGACCGCAACTTTTTGGAGATGCCAGGACCATAGGACGACCACTAAGGGAAGCAGCAGGTGTACAATGGACCCAGCCTCAGCCTGTGAGATGAATTGTGTGTGCTGTGGACAGCAGTCAAGGAAGTGGACCTGCTGAAACCCTTTGGAGCCCAGGAGATTGTGAGTGAGTCCCAGATGCCAGCCTTGAGCTGCTTTACTGGATTTAGGTTTTGCTGAAAGTATGCCTGATTCTTCCCTTTTGAAATAAGACAGTACTTAACTTGTTTTGGATTTTACAGGAGCCCACACTTAAGAGACTTTGAACTTTTAAAGTGTTTGGATTTTTTTAAGGACTATGGGACTTGTAAAGTTATACTGTTTTATGTTGTGATATTAATATTAACATCATACTTTGTGCATAAGAAATGGAAAGCTTGTGGTTTAATAGTGATATGTTTGTGGGTCAAGTTGACAAGGGGTCAATTGTGCTGGATAGCTTTAATTGTCGACTTGACACTGGATACGAGGAACCTCAATTGGGGGATTTCCTACAATGGACTGGCCTATGGCCATGTCTGTGAGGCATTTTCTTGATTGTTGAGTGATGTGGGAGGGCCCAGCCCACTGTGGTGCTGCAACCCCTGGGCAGGTCATTCTGCATTGTTTAAGAAAGCAGGCTGAGCACAGACCAGAGGACTAAGTCAGTACACAGTGTTATTCCATGGCCTGTGCTTCTTCAGATCCTGCTTCCAGATTCTTGCCCTGAGTTCCCACCTTGGGCTCCCTCGATGATGAACCATGACCGGGGAGATGTGAGTCAAATAAATCCTTTCCTCTCCAAGTTGGCGTTGGTCAGAGTGTCTTGTCACAGCAATTGAAAGTAATTAGAACATGGTCACAACTATTAAGTGGTGGATATGGTACCTAAAGCCATGTTGCCTGCTCCAGAATCTGGAGCAATGGCCTCTGCAGCCACTCTAGGGAGAGTACAAAGTAATAGTTCTGTTAATACAAGTTCAAACTACAGAAAAGTACTTCATACATTTGAGTAAACTGTTAATGGATGATTAAAAATCAATCATTTGGAGCCAGGCATGGTGGTGCATGCCTTTAATCCCAGCATTCAGAAGGCAGAGGCAGAGGCTGGCAGATCTCTGTGAGTTCAAGGCCAGCCTGGTCTACATAGTGAGGTCCAGGCCAGCTGAGGCTATTGGGAGACCCTGTCTCAAAAAGATAGGGGAAAAAAGAGAAAAGAAATCAACCATTTGAAGGTGTTAATAGGTACATGCCTATAAATAGGCACAGATTAGTTTCTAAGACTTCAGAATAATAAATGATAGATAATCTCTTTATCCTCTAAACTCCAGAAATTCCCTTCCACACTTACCACCTGATACTTTCTTTTCATTTTAGTATTTATTTATATACATGTCACATACAGGGCACTTAGATTTAAATTTCATTTGCGAGGTAAGTACTTTTCACACCTCATTGACCTGGACCTACATAAAGAAGAACAGAACATGATCAACCACAGAATGCTATGGGAGAAACCAGCGAGTCTGACACAGGGACTTGAATTAAAAGGCTGATTTGAAGCTACTGCTGTTCCTATCTGGAACTTTCTCTAAATTCTTCTGGTGTCACATCAAATTTCTGAAAATAGGAATCAGGCTGCTAGTCCAGCAAAGAGGACAGATCCAAGCAAAATAAGGTGAATATTGCTTTGAAAGCAATATAACAAGGCCTCAGCATTGAAATTTTCAGTTGACATGAATGGGGAGGGATCTGCAGTCACTCAGACCTGTGCTCACTTCCTGACCCTGTACTATACAACCTCAGACAAGCCCCTCATCCTCTAGTCTCAACCTTTCTTGGTAGTAGGAAAATAAAATGGCCTAATATATGCAACTGTTTAGCCAAGGCCCAACACTTAACAACCATTCATCAAATGTCAGTCATAACCCAGTAATGGGAATAGTAATAGAGATAATAGTAGTAATTGTCATAACAGTGAAGGTGGCAGACAGTAGAGTCTTCTGAGCACAACAAAACCACAAACGTCAATTTGAACTTCTAGAATCAAATTTAAATGGGACATCCAAAAGGCAGATAGCTATGTGTATATGTGTGTGTGTGTGTGTGTGTGTGTTAGTGTGTTACTAGGTAGTGAAGCTACACACCCCAGCCCCTAGAAATGTTACTAACAGGCAAGCATGCTTTTTCATAACTTCATGTATTTCAATACCTTTCAAAAATATGCTGGGCGTGGTGGAACACACTTTTAGTCCCAGCACTATGGAGGCAGTTTTCTATGAGATCAAGACCACCTGGTCTACACAGAGCGCTCAGGGCCCGCTGGGGCTACAGGGAGACCCTGTCTCAGTAAGATAAATACACACGCACACACGTAATGTCCTAAGGAATGAGACTTCCTACATGTCTGAAAAGATATAAAACATTATACTATTGCTAGTTGATTCATTTTCTTGCAAAAAAGTATTTCCACCAAGAAGCTATACCATAAAGGCAAACTATAATTTAGCCAGGGCAATTACAAATAGCAACAACAACGACAAAAATCTCTTAAACTCACAAATAACGTGTAAAGGAGTTTCAAAATAAAGTCTCTTTGTTTTCAATTTTAATAGTACAGTCTATTTGCTGTACTATTTGCTGTCCTATATTGCTAATAAGTTAGCTAATCTCTCAATGAATGCTGCAGACATTAAGACCCAAAATTTTGCCAAGTGGGGTAGCACACACCTGTAATATCAGTACTTGGGAGCCTAGACAAGTGGATCATGAGTCTGAAGATAGCCTAGGCTACACAGCAAGTTCCAGGTCAGCTTAAGCTACACAGAAAGCCTCTGTCTTTCGAAGGGGAAAAGGAATGAAGAGAGGAGGGAGAGAAAGAAAGAGGGAAGAAAGGAGAAAAGATCCATTTTTCCCTCCTATCTTTCAAGCTGTATGTGTATGAGTAAGATATATGTACTTGTATGCATAAGACATGACTTCATATTTAAAGACAATGTCACGGGACTGGAAGCATGGGTCAGCAGTTAAGAGCACTGGCTGCTCTTCCAGAGGACCCTAGTTCAATTCCCAGCACCCACATGGTGACTAAGAACCATCCCTAACTTCAGTGCTGGGGGATCCAACCCCATCTTCTGACCTCTGTGAGCATTGCATGACACGGGTGCACTTACATACATGCAGGTAGTACATTCATACACATAATAAATATTTAAAAAATAAAGACAATTCAGATTTTTTTTTTAAAAACCCTATAAATTTCTCCAGACACTGAAGTTTCATAAAATCAGCTTAGTTCATCTAAACTGCTGTGATTTGCAAAGCAAAGAGAAAGGAGAAACAGTAATCCTATTGCAAAACAGCATTAGGGAATATCAGTGCATGCATCTGCTTCAGTTACAGGCTGAAAACTGCTTAGAGCTTTGCTAACAAGACCTGTTGAAATGTCACAGGAGGAGCTCGCGCTCCACGTGATGGTACACGAAATCCTTAAAAATCACCCTTTCCTCAAAGATGCCCATAGACACATGAAATCCTTAAAAATCACCCTTTCCTCAAAGATGCCCATAGACTCTCACACACTTCGTGTTAGTAGTTTGTTTGCATGCAAACCTCTTTCCTAGGATGCCCATTATCCCTATAGCTTCCAAACCAATGCATGGCATCAGAGGATTAGTCTTGTCCACAAAACATATAGAAGGCCCTCGAACATCCGAAGTTTAATCCTAGGACCATTTCTTACCTGATGCCAACAAGTGGGCTTTGCCTCCTCTTTCTGTGACCCCACTGTCCGCAAACTTCCCTTTAAGAACGCCTGAAGAGAATCCCAGGGAATGAACAGAGGAAACACGCGGTGCAGGGAAAAGCAATCCTCCACTACTCCCTCGTGTTCTCTTGTCCGAAGTTTTCCTCGTCCCCAGGCAAAGAGAGCCCCGCCAAGCAGCAACACCAGCTCCTCTGAGTTAGAGCGAGTCCCTCCAAGAAGCTGTCCTGCACCCCTGTCATCCCCGAGAGACAAGCAGGGGAAACCGCATCGAGCCCTCGGAAGCCGCTAGGCAGAGAACGACTCCAAGTCCGGCTGCTCACACACAGTAAACCATGGAAGAGGCAGTGAGCCGGACGCTGCAGAAAACCTACAGCCTGTGGAAGAGACACCTCCCGACTCCAGCCTAAGTCCAAGCCATCTTCGCCCTGTTGTCATAGCATTTTACAACGGAGGCTACTGCGCAAGTCCGACGCTGCGCCGCGGCGCCTGCTGGGTGTTGTAGTCCGGGCAGAGCCAGGGACGCGGGAGGGTTTCTGAGTGGCATTGTTGGGCTGGAGGACTACGGGGTGGGGCTGGTCTAAACCAGCTGCAGGTCTTTAACCCAGATCATTAGTGCGGCTCATTCCCCGCCACAGACCTACTTCTCCAGACTCTGCGGAAGTTCCGCCTCCCGCTGGGTCCGGGCGCAGACCACGCCCTCCAGCCCTGCCGGGACCCTCTGGGTCTCCAGCTCTGGCCAAAAGCAGGATACATGCATCCTCCTGAGGGGCGTGGGCTCTGGCACACCTGGGCCCTCTCTACCCACCCAGGGGCGTGGAAAGGATGGACAGCCAGCTTGTGCGCTGGGGTGCCAGGGGTGATGATGGCCCTGTGTATCTTTCCCCTTCAGAGGGAGACAGGCCTCAAAACCAGCATCCTGGAGATGGGGGAGCTTTTGATCAGTGTCCGGGTTTATGCTTGTATTTTCGTACTTGAGCCACTACTGTTTGACGTTACTTTTACACTTGAAATAATTATTCTTTTTGGAGCAGATTGCTTACGTATGCAAAATAGTCAGCATCATAAGATAATTCCAATTTCTTTTCACTTTTTGTTTGAGAAAAGGGCTCATGTAGAGAGGCTGACCTTGAACTCGGAGTGCTAATGGATGACTTCAGGTATCTCTTGGCCATCAGAAGTACTCATTTCACCTGCTGATTTATTGATTGGATTTTTGGTGTTTAATTTTCTGACTTTATGTATTCTAGATATTAATCCCTTCTCATGTGTATAGCTTACAAATATTTTCTCCCATTCTGTATCCCATTCTCTGTCACTTCACTGTGTTGCTACATCTATGAACAAGCTTTTTAATTTCATGCAACCCATTTGCCAGTTCTTGCAATTATTTCCTGAGCTATTTCCTTTTCTGAAAGTCATTTCCCATGCCTGTATCTTGAAGTGTTTTCCCTTTATTTTCCTCAAGCACTTTCAGAATTTTAGATCTTGCATTAAAGTCTTTGATCCATTTTGAATTGATTTATCTACAATGTTAGTAATAGGGATCCAGTTTTAATTTTCTATATGTGAATACTCAGTCTTTACAGCATGATTTGTTGAATAGGCTATCTTTAATCTGTTTTTGATTCCATTGTCAAAAATCAAGTGAATTAGCACTGTCACTCAGCAAGTGACTCAGGAGAGATGGCTCAGCAGTTAAGAGCACTGGCTGCTCTTGCAGAGGCCCTAAGTTCAATTACCAATCATCCACATGGCCACTAACAACCATCCATAATCCAGTTCCAAAGGAATCCAATGTCCTCTTCTGACTGCAGTGAGCATTACCTGAATAAAAGAGACTGACCCTTAACTTTAGTTTTTAAGAGTGGGCCCATCCTCAGCTGATGAGTGGTTGACAAAAATATGGTATATTTATACAACAGAGTTCTATTCATCAGTAAAGAAAGATGAAATAATGAAATTTGCAGGTAAATGGATGGATCTAGAAACTATTATACTAAGTGAAGTAACACAGACTCGGAAAAACAAACAACACGTATGTTCTCCCTCATATGTGGATCCTAGCACCAAATTCTTTTAAATTCCAGGTCCTTTTAATAAGATGATGCTATACAGTAGTTCCTTCTGCATGAAATAACTACCATCATCATGACTTCAGCTGAGCCTGATCACTAAACATCGTCACAATTGGGCTGGTTGATGGTTGTGCTCATTCATTAAAGGAGGGCCGAGCAGGGTCATTGAACCCTCACTGGAGTATCCAGCCACTCTTCCCAGCTGATTGTATGTAATTTGGCCCTAATCACACATGGCCTCCTGGATTTGGGAAGGCCTAAAGTATACACTCTGGGGAAGGCTAGGAAAAGAAGGCATGACCCATGCTGGGTAAAGGCTTTCCAGTGTGCATACCCTCAGGTCATACATATACCTCAGCAACCCCTCAGTTACCTCTGTAAGTAAGCTCAATAAATTCATTGGTTCCCCAGTAAAACTTTAATCAAACATTGGCTTGACACTAGAATCTTAAAAGGGAATAAGCATTGCTTAGTATCCCTAGGAAAAGAAGTCTCACAACAGAGGGAAAATTTATCCGTTAATGCTATTATGTCTCATAATTGGTTTTTTTAAAAAAAAAAAAAAAGAAAGAAAATGAGAATGTAAAGGATGTTTAAAGGATATGGGAATGGAGATATTTTCCAAAATAGAAAAAATGAGAAAGCCTAAGCAAGTGATGAAGGTCTGTGTAGGTTTGTTATGATACATAAAGGATGAGACAAAAATAATATACACATAATCTTAAATTTTCTATGGTCATAGTTTAGTCAACTAGTTTAAGGAACAAAATATATATCCAGTCAAGGTTTATTTGAGATTAGTTGGTTTTTTACCCAAGCCTTATCTACATAGCACATGATAATTAAAAGAACCAGACTGGTGGAACTAACCTTCTTGGATGTTTAACAGCCATAGTTTGAGGCCTATAATAATGTGGTCAGAGGGACTTAAAGGACAGTTTTTGCCCCTTGCATTCCAAGGTCAACTAAGTTCCAGGGGACTATGGAACATCTCTCAAAAGGTCCTGTAACTATGGTGAGTCACCTGTCCTCTTGTTCAGGGAGGCTGTGGAGACCCCACCAGATGGACTTGAACCAGTGTCCAGTCTGCAAAGAGGAGGGTCAACTCATAGGAAACATCTCATTCATGCTTCCAAGTGAAGCCAGACATGGTAAAGCAGGACCTTTGACTTATCTTCACATAGATGGAACTGGGAACTGGTAAAAGAAAGGAGCCAGGAGCTCCTCCCAAGCCCATGTAACCCCCTGAGGAACAGATCCTCAAATGACCTTAAGTGTAAAAATAAATTGATTTACAGCTGGGGCTACAGAGAGACCCTATCTCAAAAAAAGAAAAAAATTGACTTATTTGGGCCAACTGTATGGTCTTAAATACCCAAAAGGAAAGTATAACCAAAGAGTAAAGTCATCCATAATATTTCTTTAAGACTTCAAGGGATTACGCTTCCCAGATATTAGGCTTAAGACCATATAAAAAGTTATTTAGACAATTATTTCTCATTGATGATTTTGTTCCTAATCAGAAAGTGCTGCTCAGATGTAAGACTTCAAATCTTGGTCTGCAATACTGTAGTGCCCACCTGTAGCTAAGGGAGACAACCAGCTATTGTTCTAAAATGATGGATAAATTTGTTTTCTCCCCCATCTAGAAGCCATTGGGAGGGAACTGACACTGATTCCAACCACTCCAACAGCTATCAAAATACCTGAAAGCCAATATGAATCCATCACTCTCAAGTCCAGCCTTGGAAGACAAAAGAAAAATGAGGAAATAGAGAGATAATTATGGAAGCCCTTGTCAAGAAATTCCAGTGGATTCTCATATGAACGTTTGAAAATTGCCCTGTTATAACTTTTTCTAGTTCCCTGTCTAGAATTTTAATGCTAATTACCCTGGCTTTACTTCTTCACATCTCCTATTCATGATTCAAGGACTTTCTTTTCCCCCTAGAAATAAGAGTTGTGCAATTTGGGAGTCTTTTAGATAGACCCACTGAAGGGGTACTCCAATTGCCTCACCCTGCGTCCCTGTTCAGCATGGAAGAAGCCAGAGCAGTCTGTGTCCCAATTCCCTACTGGCAGTTTGGGTACCCTCTTCAGAGGATGCTGTGATAAGAATAGGAAGTAGGAATTGGCTCAGCAGTTAGGGTAAAAAGACCCCAAAGAAAAGTAGCCAGTTTCTTGGCTAAATGTCAAAATGTCCTTGGGCCTCTTAGCAACATACTCTGTTCCAAAGGCCAAAAATGTTGAAAGTATTTGGGAGCTTGTATCTAATCCTTAAAATATTTTAGGGTTACCTCTTCAGAGAGGGAGAATGTTAGAGTAGCCAAAAGCCCCATTAAAAAAATAAAGAAGAAAGAGTACATGAAGTTATCAGAAAAAAAAAAGTGATGGGGAGATATGGGAGGAGTTGGAGGGGAGGGAGTTGGCGTGGATTTGATCAAAACACTTTATATGCATATATGAAATTCTCAATAAATTATTTATTTAAAAAAGAGTGGGCCCAAACTACAGGGGCAGCCATTCCAGAAGATGTTTCTTGGAACTGTGCCATGGAGTCAGGCCTAACCCATACTGTTTTTCAGATTGTTTCTCCAGCATCAATTTGGGGGAATGACAAACTTAAAGCCACCCTTATTTAATCACAATCTTACCCTCTCACCCCTAGATCTAAAACATCTCACACACACACACACACACACACACACACACACACACACACACACAGAGGCAATTCTTTATTTTCATTGTTTTCTCGGAAGATGCTCATTGCCCCTTTTGATATGTTAATTCTCAAATATACCCACATTCATACACTATCTTTGGTAGAACAGCAAATTGAGGTTCAAAGGAATCAAAGTCAGGTGCCCAGGTCACAAGAGCTCATGGTTCAGTGACTTTATAGTTCTTTGGTTGCAAGGTTAAAAGTCATTAGTCCAGAGTCTGTTCAGTTTGGGGGTTTTTTGGTTTTTGGGTTTTTTTTTTTTTTGGTCTTTTTTTGAGACAGGGTCTCCTCTGTAGCCCCAGCTTGCCTGGAACTCACTATATAGACCAGGCTGGCCTTGAACTCACAAAGATCTGCCTGCCTCTGTCTCCCAAGTGCTGGGACTAAAGATGCACGCCGCCATGCCCAGTAGATTCTGTTTGTTTTATAAAAGTCATTCCTACAAGACACTTTTAGTATGCTTTTTGCTCAGGACTACTTTGGCTATTTGGGGATCTTTTGTGCATACATATAAAACTTAGGATTGTTTTTCTGATTCTGTAAAGTATATCAATGGTCCCAGCAATTGGGAGGCAGAAGCAGGAGGATTTCTTTGAGTTCAAGGCCATCTAGTGCTACATAGTGAGACTCTGTCCAACATATATAT